GGAAGTTTTCCGCATTTCATTTCTTTTCCTTTCTCTTCGGAAAATAATAGAGAGCGAGGGGAAAAACGTAGAAAGGGTCAGAGGGAGGAGTTTCCGAGATCGATTTTCACCAACCAGAAGCCGAGAGCCACGCCGAGTCGACTTTTTTTTCCCTTCCCTACCCCCGGAAGAGGCGTAGCGAGGGGTAAAAAACTGGGCAAGGAACGGGGGAGACTTTTAGGGGGTTGATCTTCAGCGCGCTCGACAACGGGGTGCCTTTTTACGGCCCGGACCAACCCTCGGTCGCTTTTTACGACGGACTCCTCTACCTTCGGCCGGTCCCGTCTCTCTTTCTCCCTCTGGCACTTCACTTTTTAGAAGGGCATAAAAACGCACCCTGCCGTCGCAGTAAAACTCCGAGTACCCCATGAAACCAAAGAGTTTTTAGTATCACCGCTTTTGCGAAGAACCAACCTCCGAGATATCCTCCGTACCGACGAAACTTTGCAATTCGACTTTCCTGACTGCCTCGGAGATTTACCCAGGAGGGGTTGCGATTGATCTGCAAAATTTCGACACCACGATTCCTCCCTTCGATTATGCTCAATCTCTGAGGATGTTTGGGAGAGATCGTTAGAGCAGCCAAGAAATTTTATCCCTTCCAGTACTTTTCATTCTCGCGATCTCGATGCAGTTTCAAATAATCGGCCAGCCTCGAAGGCCTCATGCATATTTTAAGTGGCGCCGGTTTTACGGGGGTGGCTCGACATCGTGTTTTCTTCTTCCGCCCCAATTGGCGCGCCCGTCATTTCCGGTGGATCGCTCCAAATTTCTAAAGTAACCTTCGACCGTGGGTGCAAAGAATTTCTACTAAGACGGACTAAAAAATAAATCTGCATAGAAAATTGCATCTAATTATTATGCACGTGTATAATACTTATTGCATGTGTATAATACTTATTGCACGTGTATTATACTTATTTCCAAAGTAACCTTCGACCGCTGGTGCAAAGAATTTCTACTAAGACGGACCAAAAAATAAATCTGCATAGAAAATTGCATCTACTAATTACGCACGTGTATAATATTTATTTTGCACGTTTATAGTACTAATTGCATATACTTATTTCTAAAGTAACCTTCGACCGCGGGTGCAAAGACTTTCTACTAAGACGGACCAAAAAATAAATCTGCATAGAAAATTGTATCTAGTAATTATGCACGTGTATTATACTCATTATGCTCCCTGTCGGTACTCTCATACATTTCCGCCTCGAATAGCAGAATACCATTGCTCAGAAGTGTAGTTTCCGGATTACCACACCCTTTTCCCTGTCTAAATTTACCCAAAGAATACATTGTAAGCGTACATTTGATATGTTAACATAAAGTGTAATATTGCATACAGAGCGCAATATTACATGTAAAATGTATTTCTCTACGTGATTTTACATTGCGTAATGACAGAAAGTTGTGGTATTTTAAGTATTTCTCAGTTCTCCCCATCGACCAAATTTACGTCAGAGATATTCTCATTAATGGAAGAATTAATTATCTCGTTCGCTTTATTTTCAGACATCGAGGCGTATGCCCAGTGTATCTTAATATACTCAATATTTCTCAAAATACGTACATTGCTAAATTTATTATTATTCAATTAACGCACTTCACCCAAGGGACATTTCAATGAAGTACCTTGGTTTATGTGGCTCTATACATGCTTTAATATTTTTCGATTGTGACTTGTAAGTACACAATCAAATGTTGAACCCCAAAATTCATTGGGATGAACTGTTTATTTTGTCAACACCTTAGGTGACTGTTCATAGCTGAATATGTTAATAATTTTAATCGAAAATCAAATATGATTAAATACCTCACCTCGCCTTAACTCCTCGCTCAGCTCTTAGAAGCTCCCTGAAAAGAAAGAAAAAGCGAAAGTCAAAAGCGAATAGAAGGTGGAGTATGAATTTCGCAGGAAGTCGCCTGCGCATCCGGCCTTCCTTTATTTTTATGTTAATAACCAACTCAGCTATGCCGTCTCGTTTTTCGGACGGGGATGAAAATGTCCTCCAGGGGGACGTACCGAAATCCACCCCCGACGTCTACGTCTCCTCTCAGGAGTTCGGTGAAACTCCCAGGGTGAGAAAAGCGCAGCCCGGTCGTTCCCCGCAGTCGCTTCTTTCGCCTACGAGACTTTCCCGGGGGTATTTTTCACTCTCCCAGTCCGGGATCCTGGTTAACCGGAAGTCGTCATAACTTCTCCGGGCTTGCCGAGCCAGCTCTCTGCCGAGGGAGCGAGACGGAGCTCCCAGTTCTTTGCGCGTTTTCTCTCTCCGCTTCGTTTGTCTCTTCCTCCTATATTTTCCAAACTCTTTTGTTTCTCCTCTCCTCGCCGGCAACCCTCTCCCCCGGCTTGGCAACGCTTTCGCCGACCCGGCACGGGGAAACAGCAGGATTTTAAATTAGCCCCGGTGCGCCCTTACTAGGACGACCTGGACTTTTCCCTGGAGTCCTTCCGCGTCTTCTAACCCGAATCGCGCCGCGATTTTCCTGCCGTATCGGACTGGTCATCTCGATTTCTCGCCCTATGGAAGTAGTCCTCGATCTCCCCTGATTTCCCCCCCGCTTTTTAGGATAATATGAAAGGCGTCGAGAAATTTAATCGACGTCGATAAATTAAAATTCAAATATACCGATTTTGGTGGGAACGTCATTTTGAATACTCATGTGGTAATATGTGCTCACAATTATGAAAGTGGTCTAAGTCATATATTTTTTGTTTCGAAATTACATTGAATTAATTTCGCTTGAAATAATATGGCGTGAAATAACTGATAAACTCATTTTTTTTTTAATTTTGACTTAGACCACTTTCATAATTATGGGCACATATAAGCGATCTCGATTTGTCGCCCTATGGAAGTAGTCCTCGATCTCCCCTGATTTCCCCCCCGCTTTTTAGGATAATATGAAAGGCGCCGAGAAATTTAATCGACGTCGATAAATTAAAATTCAAATATACCATTTTCGGTGGGAGCGTCATTTTGAATACTCATGTGGTAATATGTGCCCATAATTATGAAAGTGGTCTAAGTCATATATTTTTTGTTTCGAAATTACATTGAATTAATTTCGCTTGAAATAATATGGCGTGAAATAACTGATAAACTCATTTTTTTTTTTTAATTTTGACTTAGACCACTTTCATAATTATGGGCACATATAAGCGATCTCGATTTGTCGCCCTTCGGAAGTAGTCCTCGATCTCTCCTCCGCTTTTTAAAATGATATGAAGGCACTGAGAAATTTAAACGACGTCGATGAATTAAAATTCATCTATACCGTTTTTGATGGGGACGTCATTTTCAACACTCATGTGGTAACATAAGCTGGCGCGTCGCGTTACTGACATTTATAATTACATTGAACGTCTTTTACAGTCTATGTCGATAATTATACCAACTGAAGCGTTTCATATGTCTCATCTCTCTTGAGCTCGCAAAATCGGAAAATTCTATCCCGGGAATAAATAAAAGTCTAGAAGTGGATCGGCCAGGCCGTGGATTACGGGATTTTCCTCGGGCGAAGAAATAAAGGGCCGGCAGAATTTATGATACAATTAAAAACTCATCCTTATTATTCCCCACCCCCAGCGCGTGCCGGTAGCGCCTTCTTTTGTTTCGACTTCGAGCCGTGCCTTATGACGTCATAATTTATCTCTCGAGGCGACTCTGCACACTATTGTGTCTCGGAAAACCTGGATTTCCCCTATTCCGCGTGATGGCAAAACTGGCCCTACGTCATCGCGCGCGGCGCGTCCTCTGTGTGTGAATTTCGAACTAATCGAAGGTATCCTTTACCGTGAAATGTCGGAAATCCTAACATCCCGTGACACCGTAAAAGGTTGGGATGGACGACCGAGGTAACGTTCCGAGGAACAGCTGCGACAAATATCCCGTCGGATAAAAAGGTGCCGGACCTTTTTTCGGGGTCGGTCAACAGATTTGCATACCAGTCGGACATGTCCACATCTAAAGCCCTCGGTCGAAGTTTCGGTGTCCGCCCTACGATACAATGAGAGGTATTAATCCCATGAATTTTATTTCCGGGTTAGTTGGAGTTAGAGACTGAGTTATCGTGCCCACCGCACGATCATCGATTTTCGCAGCGCTCCTATAAATCGCCTTTCAAGCCGCCATTTTTGTAAAAAAAATATACAAAAAANAAAAGCATTTTTTTGTTTAATAGTAGTATAATACCTTACTGTACTTTAATTTGGATAAAAACGTATTAATTCTTAAAAAGAAATTCTTGAAAAACCGTAACTTTTGGGTGGGTCAAAGTGGTGTAGCCCCTTAATGGCACGTCCAAGGGATTTTTTCTTCGGGGACGAATGGAAGCCCTGACATTTGGTGGGGGTGCCAAGCCACCCCTACAGTTAGCGCAAAGTATTCTCCCGGCCATTTTTCACCCCTTCGCTGCACTTCCTTCCCCCGCCGAGGGGGCTGCGCCGCGCAGTGGGGGAAGACAATGGAAAAACTACCGCCATCTTTAATTCCTTCCCGGCTCCCAACTTGGTGGACAAAAGGAGAAAAAATACGATCAATAAATTCTCATACCTAGTGTTACTTCGTGCCTTGGCGTGCCGCTCCGCCCCCCAAGGAAAGGGGAAGGAAGATATCACCTCTTGGAATTAACTTCCATACCAGTAATTATTTTACTCACTATTGTTAATAATAAAACCTTACACTAAGGATATCAATTGGACCTTCATGTATCTATACCTCGCTCTTAATTTCTTTACCATCGGAGCAACATCTCCCGATAAAGTATCGCATGGTATTACCATCACGAGTACGTGAGCCGCCAACGGCGACTGGTAGATGGCACCGCCATCCCGAGTGCGTGAGCCCCTACCAGAAATTCGTTGCGCCGCCCTTGGGGAAACGAAACCAGAGGGCAGCACAGGACGCGACCACGTGAGGGATCTACCAACTCATTTGTTATCAATCTTCGAGGCCTAATTAGTCGACACCTGCTACTCGAATAACAGAGACGATCCACGCATTTAAAAGAATTCTTTTCCTCCAAAGGAAAACCGCCAACCACCCCGAATTAAGCCTCGTGATGTCCGTGCCAAAGAACTCGAAATTCACTATTGCCTTAATCGTCATTTTATTTTCAAACGTAACAACCTACGAAGGTACGTCCAAACTTTAAACCGTTATTCATATCCAGACCGAAAGCTTACCCGTTCTTCTAATTCTAACCAAGAACTCGACCATCCTAGACGCCAAGTTTTGGCACGATTCCGCCGAAAAGGATCTTAAAGAATCCCTTTCCAACAAGTGGAATCTGAACACCGCCAAGAACGTCGTACTATTCGTCGGTGACGGCATGAGTCCAGATACTATAACAGCTAGTAGGATATACCAAGGCGGAGAAAGGAATTACCTTTCGTGGGAAAGATTCCCCCATGTCGGCTTATTAAAGGTAGATGCGAAATAAGTCTCTCCAGATGATAACCTACCACGCCATCTTGGGCCCCGGCGTTAGTAACGGTTTACGGCATGTACATATTCTTACCTCCATGGCTTATGATTGACTCCCGACGACTGATTACAGACTTATAATACCAACAAGCAAGTGCCGGACTCGGCGTCGACCGCGACGGCGCTGTTCAGCGGCGTCAAAACGAACTACCAGGTCGCAGGAGTCGACGCGAGCGTTCGACTAGGCGACTGCGAGTCCAGCTTGGATTCCGCTCGTCGGCTGGAGTCGATTTTCGACTGGGCCCACTCGGTTGGTAAAAATACAGGTACGTTTACCAACAACCGACAATTTGCCTGCCTTTCGCTCTAGCCCGTACACATACCTTAAACAACGGATTCACCCGTTGCCTACAGTACAGAAAACTGTTTCTGCCCTATCGTAGGGCGCAATATACATTACTTAGGTATTATCGATATCACCTTTCATTACGAAATCTAATCCCTTATCTTCCTACTCATATCTAAGGGTTCGTCACGACAACCAGAGTGACTCACGCCACTCCTTCCGCACTTTACGCTCACACTGCCGACAGAAGATGGGAGTGCGAGAATAAGATGCCGAAATCGGCGAAGAACTGTAAAGACATAGCGAGGCAGCTCATCGAGGACGAGCCTGGCAAGAGTATAAAGGTCTGTGCATAACTTATAACAAACGTGACTCCAAACTCCCCTAGGAGATAAATCTCGTATCCGAGAACTGAACTGACGGCTTCGAGGATTAACAAGATTAATCCAAAACTCGTTGATCTCTCTTTAGGTCATCATGGGAGGTGGGAGACAAGTATTGCAATCCAACGCCACCGCTAGGAAAAACGATCCCATAGACGAGTGGGCATGTCGAAGCTCAGATGGGCGGAATCTAATAGAGAGGTGGAAAAGCGACAAGCTTTCGCTAAACATACCCTCCGAGGTCGTGGGAAACAACGAGGAGCTTTCGCGAGTCGATTTCGAAAGAACCGAGTCTTTGTTGGGCATATTTTCCAACGGCCACCTCCCCATGGATTACGCCCGTGAAAAGGGTCCCAAGGGACAACCCAGCCTAGAAGACATGACCGTGGCGGCTATAAAAATTCTACAAAAATCCGAGTCCGGTTACCTCCTAGTGGTAGAAAATATTCCTAAGCGGATAATACCCATGGCGTCCAAAAAAAGAAACCTGGATCCAGCATGTTGGTCTCCGGTTTATTCGGCATTCACATTCCGTGGACTACAACTAGCTCTATATATCGTATCGCGTAGAAATGTTGAGACATCAATTTTGTAAGATTATCTCCTGATGGTTAACGGCGCCAACGTGTTGGATCTATTTCGTTAAGATTCTTGGATGACGGACATGAAAGAGAAGTACTTTATGCCTTCGTAGGTCGAAGGAGGCCTCATTGACTTTGCACACCACAGAGGACATGCTGCCCAAGCTCTGCAAGAAACAGTCAGGCTTTCCGAAGCAGTTAATGCTACTCTAGCTCTGGTAGATCTAGAAGAAACCCTCGTGATCGTCACTAGTGATCATACTCATTCCATGTCCATCAATGGGTACAGCGATAGGGGGAATTCGATCCTAGGTATGACTCCAAGCCATCGATTAAAATTATTAAGGGGATGTGAGAATGCCATCCAAGGTATCAATCGTTCGTGAAACTTTTCTCCGAACTGAGCGTACCGAATCGTTTCAAACTTCACAACTTAAATACGCAGGCTATAAGGAAGGTCCTGCCACCCATGAAATTTCATTATTAATAAACAATTGTAAAAAAACACCTACGAGTGTCAGGGCCTTCCTAATAGCTTTAACATTCACGTTCTAAACTTTGAAGCGATTCGATACATCCGGTTCAGAGAAGAGTTTGATACACGAGACCTCTGCGTACCCACTTTCACGTCCCCTTAATATGAAAAAAATTGAAATTAATTTCTAAGACTAAGTACGTGGTCGCAAGGGTTTATATATCAATTTTAGGAATCGCCCAGAAATCTAAGCACGACGGATTACCGTTCACCACGTTATCCTACAGTACGGGAGGACCTAATAACATGGCATACACCGTGGTGGGCAACAAATCAGTACGCATCAACGTATCTTTACACGACACCACCAGTTTCACGTACAGTCAGCAGGCCGCTATCATAACCGACGAGGCTTATCATGGCGGGGGCGACGTGGCAGTGTATGCCATAGGTACGGGTAAAACATTATCACTCGACAATGTCTCGGTACTTGCTCCTGAGTCATGTTCCCGGTCAATGATTCATCTTAAGGTGAAGTGAAACACGTCGAGGAACTTGATCGACGTCGATAAAGATTTTCCTAAGTGCCTACGTTGCCGACGTTCGTTTTTATATTGACAGCTGTGTCAAATTATATTGAGTATTATACCAAATGGCATATTCCACCTGACGTTTTCGTGCAATAATTATAAAGAAATCCAAGTATAACTCCAGAAATCCTCTGGATTCGTGCTTTCTGGGGCCCTAATTGACTGCAGAGGGACCCCCTTGAGCTGGACGCCATATTGGTTCTGGGGTGAGTTAAAAAATTTTATTAAAAAATCCAAATTTTCAACGTGTCAGGACAATTCTTAGATGACCAGGAGTGATGTGTCGAAGTTTCGGACATTTTGGCCTAATACCCTTAAAAAAAAAGTGTTGTATTCGAACCGACTGATTTGAAGGGGTTTCACTTCACCTCAAAGTAGCGCTTTATGACAATTTCAACGATAGGATTTTATTTTCACAGGGCCGTTCGGTCATCTCTTCCACTCTACGCATGAGCAGAACTACGTAGCCCACGCAATAGCCTACGCATCAAAAATCGGACCGCACATGAGAAATACCGGCAGCATTTCCCAGGAATACTTTCCGTCCCTCCTCGGCACCATCGTTCTCCTCATCTCGTCGATTTATACGATTAGTGATAAATGGGATTTTTTAACAGCTGTTTTTCCCACCGACCGCCCTGGGCCAGATCTCTGACGTCATTTAATACGATAAGCCGGGAGAGAATCTCAGTGTTAGCGGTTGCGCCTTGTACTTTCACGTATTTATTTACAAACAAGTATGTTTAAACAATGTTCAGTCTTATGCCGCCCAGGATAAGGGTATCTGTATCGTGACTCTTTAATCAGCAGCTCGCGAAGCTTTAAAATTCGCCGTTTCTGAGATTGCTCCTCGAGGGACCTACCACCATCTCCCTCGATTAAGTATTGCGCATCTTAGGCTATTCAAGTAACACGCTCGGATATGTCTCCACAATTCATTTTTCTTTTTTTTCCCCTCGGAAACACACGGAAGGATCATCCCAAACCTCGCTCGTGAATGGAGCCCGCACACTCCCATAATTTAAAATCAAAATAGACGATATGACAGATCTCGCCAAAGACATTTCTAAGCGTGGAAAATACACGAAGCACGAATAAATATCGATCCGTGGACGAAACAAAAACGTAAGGGACTGAACAAAAGGCAGGATATAGGTTTGCACTGGAAAGAGAACAGTATTTGGTTTGGTAGGAGAAAATTCTCTGTGCAACCTGTTAATCACAGAATTTGTGACGACCACGTTGCACCGCAGAAGATGATCTTCCTATCCAGATATTCCATAGTCTTAAAAACGTATCCTCCAAGGGACTGCACTTCCACGAGGAGGACACGTTCTGGTCGCACATAACTCCGGATGTATCTTTAAACTTCATAGTCCAACAAGCTGGACTGCCAAGACCAGCAGGACAAAGCAAACCCCATATCCGTATCTCGGTTTAGCTCTTCGACTCGTAAAGGAAATTAGACTCTGCGTACACTTATTCCAGCTGGAAACTTAAGAGATCAGCGTATCTTAACGGGCTACACCCTGGGACACTAAATTATTTTTCGATTAAGGTGATGTGAAACTGGCGTAGAATAGGTTTTGTTTATAAAACTTTTCTCCCAGCTCGGTTTACCGAATAATTTCGAAACTTTACAACGTGAAAAGGGAGACTCTAAGGAAGGTCCTGAAACTCATGAAATGTCAATTCTTTTCAAATTTGTTTATAGGTATTTTAAAAATAGTTTATAAAAAATGAAATTTCATGAGTTTCAGGACCTATCTTAGGGTCTCCGTATTCACGTTTTAAAGTATGAAACGATTTGAGACACCCAGTTCGTGGAAAAGTTTTATGAACGATTGAGCTTTCGGATGCCACTTTCACATCCCCTTAACAGTTCCGGAAATCTCCCAGGCGAAAGCCTTTTGCTAACTGAACCAGGAAAAGCTCGATAAGCAGAATCAACCACAGCGGTGGAAATTAAATGAGAATCTCAGCGGATTGACGATTCGTTAGAAAAAAGAAGAAAAAAAAATGAAAGAAATAGAAGACCTCTAGAAACGTTTCATCCGACGTCGCTAGTCGGGAAGATGTGCTCGACGATCATTCCGTTCAGGAGAGACGTTATTTATTGCCGAATGTCCTTTCAAAACTGAAGATCAACGCGAAGTCAAAGTAGCAGAATCTTAGAACACTACTAGGTGGAATAACGATACAGCCAGAATTAGCAGGCGATCATTGCAGTTTCCTCTTCTCTCGTTTGTACCCTTTGGCCATGGTATCGTGGACCATTATTTTAAGAGAAATCACTGCAAGTACCACCAGCGCCGAGATCAGGAATATGAATCCAGGCGTGTACTTCTCTGGATATAGCATCAGACTGCATAGTCCCACAAGTTGAAAAGCCAACACCAAGAGAGCAAAGTACACACCTAGAGTCAGAACTATGGAGATTCGCTTGCGTTCCTGTTTCTCAAATTTGGAGAACTTAGGGGGTACTTTTTCTAGGCTGGTCCGGCCCGATTTCTTGGGAGAGAGTGCTTCGGTCCCGAGTCCTTCTAGGACACGCTGTTTCAGACTACTGTTCAAGAAGAAGATGCGCTCGGTGATGCCTTTCAGGAAGAAGCTGAAGCAGACGTTCACCTTCTTCGCCACCGGATGGGACTTCGAGTTTCCGAAGGAGTAGAGCAGATATGGAAAGAGATTCATGTTCTGGCAGCAATGGCGGATCCTCTGCATGGACGAGTGCCGGAAGAGCGACGGCGGCCCGCTGTAGTTCCCGTCTGTGGACATTAAGATTAGGGTAGAGGCGATCGATTAGGGACGCCTGGGTGAGCTAGGGTCTCCCATTGACGAGATAGAGATTATCGCATGTAACCCCTTTTCGAGCCAAGCGATACCAGGCTCGAATACCGGAGTAAATACCTCAGGCACGACTCAAAAAGAATCAAGTATTTCATCATGCAGAGCACAACCGATTCGACGTTTCGTTAACCTCTCGATTATATCTCAAAAACAATATCCACTGTTTCGACATGTCACCGAGAGGAAGCCTCGAATTAAACTTCAATCCTAACTGCCGATTCTTTTATCCAGTACCGACTTAACTGAGAATATATTAAAACTAAAACAAAAACATCCTACGACAGAAATCAACTTCATCGGACTGAGAGACTAAATATCGTTAAAAAGAAAAATTCACTTATAATTTATATTTATCGTCATGTCTCTGATATGGTTGCATATAAATGTATTATTTCATTTGCAGACGATTATGTAACGTATTTATGTCAACGCGTTCTCGGTTACAATATACACGTTGACGACACCGAAGTTCTGCTTCGTACCTGTACGCTTAAATGCAAACATTTTCAGGACAAATTTCTTGTCTTCATCTTTTAATTGTTGTTACGTAGGATTATTTTTATTCGCTTGCATATAGTTTGAATTCAATTGAACTAAAGTGCAAATCAAATCCTTTGGGAAATTCATTTGATCCGTTGACAAAAAGAAACGTCAAATGTGATTTTGTGATATATCGAGCATATTAAGGGAAAAAGTATACGTAAATATACCTTTGAACATGTCGGAAACACGTCGTACTAGTGTCGGCTTCACCGAGCAGGCAGTGTCCGCAGCCTGTGGCACGGCCATCATACACAGTCCTTAATCGCAGATTGGTCAGCGGCAAGAACTCTGTCCTTTGATTGGTCGGTCGTCTGCTCTGTGGCCTGCAGATGAGATTCCAAATTTCTTGATGTTCTGGGCCAGCGAATCTCTCCTGAAAACATAAGAGCGTTCACTTTCGGTTGCTTAATCAAAAGATGAGTGCCTCCCACTCCGATAAGTTCCACGATGTCTCCAGGGTTATACAGAGTCTACATAGACGAAGTTTAAGTGGTACGGTGCAAAATTGAAAATAGTCAAGGCTCCGACTCACTTCGTTTAACTGGTCCGCCAGACGTTCAGAGTTCAACTGAGACTTCAACCCTCGTGGGATCGAAAACGCGTAACAAAAAATCGCTGGAAGAAGCGATAGCCTTCGAACTCGCGATTAATCTGTTGGCATGGCCGCGTCATTTATGTTACAATCGCGTAATTCCTTAACTGCGCTCAGGGGGAAGGCGCATGTGTCCGGTTCACCATCGTAGCTACCCCTCTACGGTTTCTAGTGTTCTTAGGTAGAAATCTTTCCACATTCCCCTTCTTCTCTCGTTGCAAAAGGCGGAGCTTACCACTGGCATTACCGATACTTGCCCGAAGGCTTCGAACTTGTTCTTCCTTCCTTTTATTTTAAGTAACCTACACTGTATCGCAATTCCTCAGAGCGAGGAAATATTTCTTGCTATACATAATCCTTCGAAGGAATTTCTCATAAGATATCGTGCTCTTTGAATTAAATAAGAATAAACATAAATTCTTTAGCCAATTTTCTACCAAATATAGTAATAATTTCAAAGAAAATAATCCTCTCAAGAGCTGCACGATTATTCACATAGAAGTAATCACGTATGGTAAGATATTACGAAACAACCTTACTTTAACCCCTAACAGCTTGTCGTTAAATCTCAAACTACAGTTACACGTGACTTCCTATTATTGTATCGCTTCCAGAGACTTCCCCCTTTCGTCGTATCGTTCAATTAGAGTGAAATACATGGAGTGGAACATCATTCAATAAAAGACCTTCATCTCCGTCATGACCTACGTCGAACCCACGAATGAATAGAAATCAAGTCCCACCGAAACACGCATGGAAATCATGGTCATTCATTCTAAAAATATTGGTATCCGCATAACATCTAAAGTAAAATTGAATGCCGATAACAAGTACAAAGTAACGCCTTCATACACAAACGATACATCGAACTTCCCAAACTACCTTCGATCACCCTCGTTACTACTCTAGTAAAATCCTGCGACTTTTAACACATTTAACAATCTGAAAGATACAATTTGCCAAAACTTTAGTTAATCAAAGTAGTAGAAATCTCTGAACCCGATTCTCATAAGGAACAAACGACTACCGAAAGGACGAAGGTGTAAACGGAATAGGATATGAATAAAAATCAACACATATATCTCGGTAATTAATTATATTTTTCTAATTACCTCCGAACGTAACACCGACTCACCTTAAAATCCGCCTTCGAAAATCCATGCACCTATTCGAGCCTCGAGTTCCTGTCGGCCATTGGCTTCCCCGTAACTCCGACCCGGCTTCTCCTCGACGTCTAACTATACTTCTTGTACAAATTAAAAACTATAGGAAACTCGCGAAATATGCCCATCCTTCGATGAAAGCGCCCGGACACTCCTTGCGTGCTCAAGTACAGAGTTTCCTCTCTTCTGGTCGAGTACAGCTGCCGCAATCACCTCTCGCTCCGCTGAAACCCAAACAACTGGCGTCCCGTTGGTCGGCGGGAGCGTGAGCCCTAGAGAGGCGAGTCACGTGACCCTCTCACCGCCATGGGGCGCTCTGATTGGTCAGCGCGCCCACCCGCCAGCCAATCAGATCGCAGAACGCCTGCGACGCGGAAACGATCACGTAGGCGCGCTTCTTCTTTTGTGTGTGGGGACGCCTGGACGCGTTGAAACACGTCGAAACGGGTACAGGGACGCGGTGAAGGTTTCACAAACGGGCCACCTTGTCCTTTGTCTACCAAATAACGTCCTTCGGACCTCGTAAAGGCAACCGGAGTATATAGAAGTATACGTTAAAACGTTTCAAACTTTCTGATCGGCGATCACCTGTATGGCGTGGCCCTCGGGATTAATTCCCCATGAAAAATATTTGATACGCATTTTTGTAATTTTTCGTTACTGTAGTATAGTGACGGGAACTGTATACGAAGCTATACAATCGTACTGGAAATGTCGAGAGGCGGTAAGTCGTATCCAACACCTTATTTCGGTACTATGTACGACCAAGGACAATATCTAATACACGTTCTTGGGTTTGGTTTATGGTACGACCATAACCGATTTCCGTCCTTTGAAACAGCAATTCTCGACCTTTCGACGAGTTTTGACCTGCTCGAGGTGAAAGACATCCAGCGGTTCGTACTTCGGCTTATTTTCCTCTACCCTGACTTATCTTGCCCCAAAGTATTTGGGAAATGATTAACCTGGTAAGTAAATGCAGCTGGAAATTGGGTGAATTGTCAGCCATAAATAGAGGCGTTCCAATGATTGCCGTAATCGGCTAATACGGTACTCCTTTTCGAATGACTTAATGACTCATGCTTTCCCTCATGGTCTACCTCCTATCCACGCTAATTGTTTAACTATCTACGTTAAACATCAAATGTTTAAATTTATTTTAAAATAGCAATTAGCAAGCAACTTAATTTTTATTAAAAATATAAATGTGTGTATAACACAAAACGGAAAAAAAAGGAAGAAATATTATTCTCATGTAGAGGCACTATAGTTTATTATTCCTTCCCGTCATTATTTTAAGATAATTTAGTTTTTAAATATGTTAAACAAAAATCATGTTATCCAGTGCTGTAGGAGTACAATGTTGTACAAAGGTTTGAGCGATTTTCTTATCGTGTTAGAGGGAAACCGTGTTATAGGATGCTGAGTTGTAGTAGGGCTACCTGTATATGAAAAAAAAAAAATGTAAGAACGGGTTTTCAGAAGCAAATGTTGTTATAGCTTCACGGTTGAATTTCTTAATAGCACGCGTAGGTGAGGCAAACGGCTCGTAAAAAATCTTCTATGTGATGTCCACGATTAATGTCGCAAACGGCTCGTAAGAAATCTTCTATGTGATGTCCACGATTAACGTCGCAAACGGCTAAAGACGTTCATTACTATTTCAGGGTCAAATCGGCTTTCGAAAGCCGCGAAGATCGAGCACGAACGTCACTCGGAAACCCGGTTAAACGTCGGATAGGCGAGTGGAGATCGGATCGAGTACCCAGTCGTCTAGACCCATTGCGTAACGTTTCATTGATCTCTGACGCAACCGGGAAGAGGGGCTAGAGTGTGGAGCAAACACAGAAGAATCTCCGACAGGATCTTCGAGAGTGGGAGCACGTGGTTCGACGTTGAATCGGATTTGCAGTCCATGCACGAGAAACGTGACGGAGAACGCGGAGGAATCGAGATGTACCCTCTACAATCCACCCAATGTTCTTTAGGTACTATCAGGAACTCGGTAGAGTTTCGCGCCAAATACATTTAAAAGCCTACGCGAACGGCACCGAATACTTTACGCTAAAATTCGGCCATTCGGATTAACGGTGGCAAACTGCTTCGTGGAGGCATCGTACCCTGCGCTTCCTTAAACCGTTTACACCGATGGGGTTAATCCTACCCTCTTCTTCGGAGCGCATAAACTCGCCCCTCGCGTTTAGGCATTTTCCAGGGTTGGGTACTCTCACGTTTATCCACATTTTTCACGTATATTATGTAGTTCACGAAGTTTACCGTTGAAAATCATAGGAAAGTAGTAAATTATGTTTCCAATGTGGAGGATGCAGCAGATGCATGATGTACGGCATCCGCTAGGTTATACACATGTTTTAGCACATATGTTAACACGTGAATATTTTTATTGAATAGTACATTAAGTTGGCGTTTGCGTTCAACTTCATACCGTTTAATATCAAATTTCTAACTGGATTTATTATTCTCTTATTTGAAATCGAAGGGCGTAATATACTTCAGGCTCGTATAGAAAATTAGGGACGTATTGTATGTTGTAATATACGCGTAGAAAACTACGGGTATTACATGACGTATTATATTTACCCAACCCTGGCATTTTCTTTGAGAATTGCATCATCCTGTACAGCTTTTTATCCGTCTCTGTAGCGGCGCTCCCATTATCGGCCCGAGTAGTCGCGGTTCGTTTAATGGAAATTAAGATTTGCGCTCTAACTCCAGCAATGGACGTGTTGATAAAACGATATTTACGAACCTGTGCAGAAGGGAAAAGAAATGAAATTCGGCCAAATGTCTACCGGCGCTCTTAGTAGACAAAGGGTTAAAAGGGAATGACTTTGATATCTCCATTCCCCTTGCGCGTTCCTCTTGCGAGGCGCCCAGCTCGGAACTCCCGGTACCGAGAGCTTATGATGAACTCCATAAAGTGCGAATAGGACTGGCCATGGAGTCTATTTCGGTCGACTATTCGGCTCGGGCTAGCCGGGAGAGATTTCCTCGTTTTTCTCAATTTTCTCGGGGTTCTGCCGTGCCGCGAACAACGGGTCGACGGCTGAGAGGTCTCCTGGTAGGGTCCCTAGCCTTTGGGGTTTTTCCACGGCCGTTCACGTGATCCCGGCGTGGACCTCTCCCGTCCAACCCATCCCGAGGGAAAATACCTGACCATCGATTTTTATCGACCTTTATCTACGGACGCGTACTTAGAACCGGTGCTTCCGATTATTAGAACGATCAGGCTCAGGTGCAAGCGCAGTTTATTTCTCTAACCGAAGAAATTTGCAAACGATCTTTGGAGGCTTTGGAAGTTTTCCACGCTGGTTCACGTGATCCTCGCGTGAACGGCTTTCGCAGATGAGGGGTGGAAAGCTTTTAGAAAAACGAGCGAACCGAGAAATCCCTAGATAGGGGATTTTTTCCACGGCGTATCCGACGCCCCCGTTCGTTGATTGTACCGTCGCCTGTACGTTCTATTTTTCTCTCACTTCCGGCTACTCACCGGAAAGCGGACAGACTGGATTGAAACTTACTTACAAGGAAGATATCCCAGATCGATCTCTCCGATTTGATTTCTTTTATAATATGTTATAGTAGACTAAAAACTAAGCNTAAAATTATATAATAGCTTTCTCTCTTAAATCCATACAGAGCGTGTATAGTAATACTAGTGACCGAAGGATATACTCTAGTTACCAAGTAGTACGCTACGTTATACGCTAGATTTTATTTGCAACGCGATCGCAAGGGTAGCCGTAGTGCAGTACTCGGTTAAACGATTTCCAGTGAGCCAACCTCGAGGAGGCCGGTCGAATCAATTGTTATACCTATTCTCGACACCTTTTGCAAATCCCCTTTCGCCTCCTTCGGGGCCAAAAGGTCCCTTCCGGGGGATTCGAGGAGGGCTCTTCGAGGTTGGCTCGATTATATCCGCCCTAAAACGCGAATTCGGTAAATGAATTTGCAGTCAGCCAACCTCGACGAAGGTACTCGTCTAAGTTATATGTATACATCTACCCTCGACGGTTCCGCTGCTCTTAGAATTCGTGAAAACCTTTTCCGAACGACCTCTCGGTTTCTTTGGGGTTAAAAAAAAGATCCCCACACCGTGGGCTCGAGGACGGCTTCGCGAGGTTGGTTCAGTGCGTACTAATTGAACGCGTACTCGGTACCACGTTCTCTAGTCTCTCCTCTGTCTCCTCTCTAAACCCTAAATAAATATATTACAACCGCGGATATTTCTTATCTTCGCCTCGAGGATCACTCCCGATATTCGTATAACACGTGATATGGCACTCATATGGCTGCTAGCCTAGCCCCAGACGGAATACAATTTTCTCAAAGTATAAAAAGAGCCGGGAAGAAAAGTTTGAACCGTATCGCGTGTCCGACATAAGATATCACGTGGAGGGCTTTCTCCGTCTAGTCTTTCCTCCGTTGGCCTCTTATTACTTCATCTACCTTACGCGACTTAGGTCGCCAAGGGGACTCCGAGATAACTCCCGACCGAACCTCGGAGGGTTCCACCAGGTCTCGAAAACTGTATCACGGCGGGCTAGGGTGGGATGACTATCGTGTGTACTTCCTATGGAATGCTACCATTAAAATAAAACGATTAGACTAATTTCCCTCCGGTTTAGAATCGTCTTTGTCAGAGACTCATCTCGCTCCTCCTCGAGGACAAGAGGGACCGTAGTTGTCGCCACGACTCTGAGGCTTAACGCGAACATACTTCGGTCAAACTTTGGCCATACGCTTTGGACCTCTATCCCGACGCTGGATCCTCGTCCCAAAATACTTGACTATTAAATGAAGATACGGCAGTTGCGGGGCGCGAATCGCCTTCATCCCTACGTTTGATTGCGGCCTCCACGTTTCAAAGGGTCCAACTAAAGTTTGAGAAGTACGCTCGCTCGCTCCCCGGGGGGGGCCAACGACGAACCCTCGCGAGTCCTTCCTTAAGGCACTGATCTCGTTCCCGGGTCCTCGATTCCGATCAAGTCCTCGTTCCACGGTGCTAAGGCACGGCCCTTAAAGTTCGAGCGAAGATTCTAAAGGCACCCTAGGTGCGTCTCGTCGACGTTACTCGGCTGGAGGCGGCGCGACACCCAACGCGCCGGTACCACCATCGAAAAAATATCTCCGTAGCGTGACTTTCGTCCCTCGGCATATTCTCTATCCCTTTCTTCGTATAAATACAGTGGACGATCGGTTAATAGGGAGCGATATCTCGGCTATTGTCTCTCTACGTCCGTCTCTCCGCGGAGAAGGATCCTTCGGTATAGCACAATATGTCTGACTCAAGTGCAACCAGCAGTTTTTCCCCTTGCTCGGGTGATAGTCAATTTCTTCCTGGCGGGCCTTTTACGCGTGGACTAGTATCGTTCTAGTACGAAAGGAATAGGGGGAAAAGCCCCGAGGGAGGGACTCGGGGAACGAAAAGGTGAGGCCTTTCGGGACTCCGGTTTCTCGGAGGACGAGAAACCTTGGAGGGAAACCGTGGTTTGGCTTGACGCAGGCACACTGCGGATACCACGGTGCTTAGACGACTTATCCATTACTCGAGTCTACTTCTCTAGCGTCTTTTAACACTTATATGGGCGAACTTCGGCGGAATAGGCGATTACGTCGGGGGTGGTCTTGCGGAGTTTCAGGGGAGGAGGTGGAAGATACACCTACTTGACGAATGCGCACAGGACCGTCCCCCTCTTATTCTCTTTCTGTCGAGCGTAGACATCCTCTAGGAATAAAAGCGCGAGACACCTAACTTAGCGTATCGGTTACACGTGTAGATACATATACATATATTAGACATCTCGGTATATCCCCCCCCGTTACTTTTAGAGTATATTCCGATATACTTTCCGCCACGTCCGTCGAAGATCCTCGGTGTCCCCGGAGCCGCGCTTCCGTCGCGTTCCTCGTTTTTTTTTTTTTTTTCTTTTACCGCCTATGCGGTCCGCCTTGCGAAAATCATCTCCCTCCTCCTCGTTCCTGGCTGGCAGTCTTTTTCGTTTAATTAAAGTATCTCAATACTGTTTGTAATACGATTATACGTACCCGGTGGGCGCGACTCTCACCCGGAAGGTATCTTTAGTACGGCTCTTGGCGACCACGTGCTCGCGTTACCGTTTACCCCTAGTGCACCCCGAAATCGTGCTCGCGGAGCTTCCCCCCGAGAGTCCGCCAGTCCTTCCCCGTCTCCGAGTCAGCGAGGAGACGACGCTCGTGCCGAGTTCACCCTCTTTGGGGTTGTCTTGTCGCCGCTCGCAACGTAGCCGACCGCTAAACCACGAACCCTCGGCCACTTTTCCGATCAACGACCGAGAGAGACGCCGGGGTTTCGGGTTTGGCCAGGGTCTCGGTTTTACCGGTCGAAGCGGCCCCACTCGACCCGTCTCGCTGGTCGCGCTTTGCATTAACTAACTAGGAGTCCCTAGAGGCCAGACGGAACGGCTACGCGTCCCTGGGCGCATCTCCGCGAGTAGGTACTATAACTACGTTAAGGCGAGTACTGCCGCGTGTGTCGGCTCTATTAAATAAAACGATGTGTCTTTTTCGTGCTAAAGCTATACGGATACGCGTCGTCGTCTTGTCGTCTCGGACCTCCGTAGGTGGACGCATTTAACTACTAGCGAGGTGGGAATCGCCTCCCCTGGGAGCGGACCGAGATCCCTCGCCACCCGCGCGAGGAGAGTAGGACGTTCGGGCGTTTCGGGGAATGTCGGGGTCCTGGGAAGGGACGAGAACCTTGAGGAGCCTCTAACCGTCGAGTCGCCGTCGACGGTGCTACGCCGCGGACCTTAGCCGTCCATGTGGCGGTACTTGTGGGCCGACATCTGGGCCAGACCCAACACTGCGTACTGGCACTGGAGGCAGTGGTAGTGGGTCTGCTTCCCCGAGTGCTGGCACTGGACCGCTCCGCAGGGCTGGCTGGGCGTGAACTTCTGGAACCCGGCCGCCGCGATGCTGTCCAGCTTCGCGTGTTGGCGCCGGTGTCCTACGACCTTGTTCGTGTCGGTGCAGACGAAGTCGCACTTCAGGCAGTGGAAGTGCGAGGCCTTGTTCTGCATGGAGCCCAGGGAGGAGGTGTACGCGCACTGGGACCTTCCGCAGGGAACATTGGCTCGGTACTGCTGGAAGTCCCCGCCCATGAGAGTGTCCAGGCGCTCGTGTCGGGCGGTGTGCTGGACGAACCGGGTTTTGTCGCAGAACGAATACCCGCAGTCCTGGCGCATGCAGTGGAAGTGGGTCTGGTGCTCCCGGTAGCCGCAGTGCGGGTACCTGCAATCCTCGTTGAACCTGAACCTGACGTACCCCTCGGGAACGGGCTCGTCCTTCAACATCCTCATGGAGTGGTGGAGTCTCTGCTTCTTGGCTTCCGGAGAAGAGTCGGAGGGCGACAGGGCCCTCTTCCCTCCCATCTTCAAGTTGGCCGCTAGCGAGGCCAGGGGGTTTTCGTCCCTGGACGGCGGAAGGAAGTTGCCCGGAGGCAGACCCGGAGCGAACATCAACCCCGGACCGCCGGCATACATTCCCCCGTGTTGCAGAAACGGGGGAAGGGCCTGGTTCATCAGCGCTATTTGCTGGTTCATCGCGGCCATTACCGCCGGACTCGGGAAGTGGAAGCCGTGGCTCAGGTCCAGCTCGAAGCCGGAGGGGGCCGGGGATTGCTGGAGATTCTGCGCCAGGGCCTGAGGGATTTGGCCGTTCTCGTTCCCTTCGGCCATGGCACCGTTGCCCTCGTCTCGGTTGACTTCGGCTTGTTCCTTCTTCACCCCCGGCATCCCTTGAGAGCCGGAGTCGCTGCTGCATCGGGGACTCTCCAGCTTGACCTCCTTCACCTGCACCTGCTGACCCATCTGACCCAGAGTCTGCTGCATCTGACGGTGCATGTTCTGGAAGTTCTGGATGTTCTGAGCCATTTGAGCGTTTTGGGCCATGAAATCGTGCTTCTGGGAGAGCTCGGCCAGGTAGTCGTGCCGCACCGCCCCCCGACTCTGGGAGGCCAGGTCGTGCTGTTGACTCAGGATGGCCCCGGTCGAGTGTTTGGCTATGTGCGCCACCAGTCGATCCAGCTCCGAGAACGCTTGATTGCACGCGTTGCAGTGATAGTGGTTCTTGCGCTTCAGCTTGCAAAAGGGTCTGCTGCAGCTTTGCTCGGGGCCGTAGAGGGTGTGCGGCGAGGCGCTCGTCGACGGAAGGACCTGGGTCTCTGTAACGGGAAGACACGCGTTAAGAAGGAACGCTTTCACGGAGCGGAGGGGCGGCCACGGTTGACTACAGAGTACAAATACGATGGTCGAAGCACAAAACGTCATACACGAACCTTGGTGCACGGAAGCTCGCATGGATAGCATGGCGCCCGGAAGTGCGGGTTCGCTCGGCGGTCCGCTGACCGGATAATAGGTGCCTGCCGCCCTCACCACTAGCAACAATCAACCAAACAACCAACACTTCAAATACCTCCCACTATGATACAACCACCGCAGAGTAGATACGTTCTAGGTCAAACGTAAAAAAAGAAAAAAAGAATAGATGCGCCAAGAGACATCCGGGTGTCCTCTAATCGCTATACGTTTCGATGGTACCGGGGGTGCGACTACGTGCAAACTCTTCATGCATACTCGTTGTGACTTCATATCGTCTGTACTACGATCACTACTGACAAAACTCGGCTACGAGTGGCGATGGTCGTCAAGTCTAACGTTTGCAACGTCTCCGGTCGGGGTTCGACCGAGACTTGCGCCGATTCGAATCGTTTCGACGGTTTCACCGACATGTCGGTTCGCACCCTCGAGAAACCCCAAGACCTAGGGCGAGTCGAAACGATTCGAAAGACTTGATTTCCATCGCTGTCTACGAGGGGCTTCAACGGGGAGTTTCTTTGCGGGGATCCTTACCGGTAGTCTTGCTGGCATCGGGACTAGGAACCTCGGATTTCTTGTCCTCGGTCGCGGGTTTGTTCTCCTCCGAGCCGTCTTCCGACTTGACTATCAGGTCGGCGGGATTCTTCACTTGTATTCTGGGCTTGATCTCCTGCAGGAGACTCTGGCACTGCGTCTGCGTCTCCTGGTTCATCTCCGTGACGGGGGTCTCGGAACGAGTGGAGTGTTGCTTCTCGTGCAGGGACATCGTCGAGTACCTCACGAAGGTGTAGGCGCAATTTGGTCTGGTACAGTGGAAGTGCCGGTTGACCCGGTTGCTGTAGCACCCGGGGAGCCGGCAGTCCACCATCTTGTCGAAGAAGGCGAACCCGGGGAGGATGTCGACGTTGTCGTGGAAGTCCTTGCTGTGCATCAGCAGCTGATCGGGCCTGTCGGTGCAGAAGTGACACCTGGGCTGAGAGCAGTGGTGATGCCTGGTGGAGCGCAGCACGCAGGCGACGTCGGGACACCCCTCGGGGTTGTACGTGGAGAACCCTTCGGGCTCCCCCAGGCTGTTCGAGGGCGACACGCTCCCGTCCCGGTCGTCCGGCTGAGGGGTAGGCGCGTTGCTGGACGCGGGCTTGGGCAGCTTGAAGCTGGTGAAGATGGCCTGCGGCGTGTCCTGGGTATGCGTGGCGGGGTCTCCGCCGGACCAGATCTCGATGACCCGGTTCTTCGGTGGCCGGCCGCGTTTCCGCCTGAACATCGCATCGATGTTGGTCAGGTGGGTGAGGGTAACGTCCGGAGACAGGGCGTGGGAGGAGCACGAGAGGTTGAGCTGCCTGCTGTACTCGTGGATCTTGTAGTGCTGCAGCCTCCGGAAGGGCTTGTCCGTCGAGAGGATGACCTCGCGGCAGTTCTCCCAGGTGCAGTGGTAGTGCTTCTCCTTGTCGGCATAGGGGCAGCCTTCCTCACAGCCGCCCTCCTCGAAGTAGGCGTCGGTTACGCGCTCCTGGGTCTCGTGCTCCCGGAGGTGGTCCCGGACCTCGCGAGGGTCCCGCAGGGTGGCACCGCAGCGGTCCAGGCCGCAGTGGTGGTGATCCCTGGCCAGCTGACAGGGGCACTCGGCGCCTGCAGGCGCCAGGTAGGCCAGCTCAGCCGGGGTGAGCTGCCGCTGATCGGCCGTCGTTGCGGCGGCGGCTGCGACGACGGCAGTGGCGGCGGAGGTCGAGGAGGCCGCGGCCGAGGAGCCGAGCGCCGCGGCAGGCGCCGTCAGGTCCATGGCGAGGTCACTCGCGCTTTGGAAGGAGTCGTCCATCGAGTAGTAGTCCATCGAGTAGGGCGAGCCCCTGCCCTCGTTGGAGCTCTCGCCGTTCAGGCTCAGCGCCATGGTCTGGGGCCCGAGGTCGTCGGGGGCCCAGGACCCCGGGGGGCGGGCGCCCCCGACCGAGCCCAGACTCCCCTGCTTGTACTTCCGGTAGGCCAGCTCGGTCTCGTGCCTCTCGTGCTTCCGCTTGTGCGAGTAGAGCTGGCTGGCCGAGTGGAGGACGTAGCTGCAGTGCGGACGGATGCAGTGGATGTGGTTGCACACCTTGGAGAAGCGGCACTGCTCGAAGGAGCACGCCTCGGACTTCATGAACTTCTTAAAGCCGTCCCGCGAGAGCTGCTCGTCCTTGATGTGGTAGGACTTGTGCTTCTCTGTAAAGTGACAAGGAAAGCGCGATGAGTCTCGGAGGCCGGTTTCCGGTCCCGGGCGACGCGGGATCGCATAGTTACCCATGTCGGCCTTGTTCTTGAAGGTGAACCGGCAACCGGGACGCCTACAGTGGAAGTGCGTCGTCCTCTGTCCTGCGAAGGGACAGTGATCAGCTCCGCAACTCTCGGTAGCTCTAAACCGCTGAAAACCTTCCTGAATAATAGCCGAATCCTTACGGTGATAGTTGGCGTGCATCTGCACGTCGGACGTCGATATGTAAACCTTGTCGCAGTTTTCGTGGATGCAGTGGTAGTGGGTTTGTTTCCGGTTGTGGGGACACGCTCGCCCGGGGTGCCTCTCCGAACAGTCGTCCGTGGGCGAGTACCTCATGAAACCGTGCTGCAAGGACTCGTCCCTCTTTTTGTGCCACTTGAAGTGCCTGATCATCTCCTCCTTTTTCACGAACACCCTACCACTGCAATCCAAGCAATGGAAGTGCTCGCGGCACCCGAGTTCCTTGCAGTACGAGCTTCCGCACTCCTGCCCGGAGGAGTACCTCCTCACGTATCGCGAATAATCGATTATCGGCTGGGGTACCGTCGATTTCGTACCGCCGATCAGGGGGTCCGCCACGGGGGACATGCTCTGTCTGAACAGTGCTGAAACAGAAAATCACGGTTCCGTTTATAAGAACGTCGTACACTGGGCGGGATTGCTCCCGCGGCTCGATATCCTATCTTTGGTAAGAGTGAAATATAACCCTAATTCCTCCCTTCTGGAAATTATACTAGATTAGAGTTAGAAAATCGACCTGCTGGACGGCGGTCAAACGGACCTCTTCGACAGGAGTCTCGTTCGCGAAAGTAGTATCTACCTTATCTACCGAGATAAACCGCCGATTTTATTGCGATACCGACCGCTGGCTCGCTCGTATCCTGCAACGAATGAGCAGTATTACTGCGCTCGCGTTATCCGCCGTTGAGGACACGCTTCCCACTGGTTACGCCAGATGTCGCCACGGTCACGTTTCGAGGTGGCGAACGCGCGACGCGGTCCGCGTTACTTCCGCCAGACGTCGCCAAGCTCGAGTTCGAGCGCCGCGGCCGCGCGCGACCAAGTTCCTACGGCTATTGGTAGATGTCGCCACGAGGGCGTTCGAAGGTATCGTCGCGTGGTGCGACTTCCGATACGCATATCGAGAGTTATGAGCGGGCCGTTCGCCGACCCACGCTCTTCGGAGGGCGCGTTAGAAGGGCCGAAAACTGGTTGGCCTGCCGGCGGTCGCCGCGGACCGAAAGGGATCGTTCGGAGTGGGGAAAAAAATCTTAAGGCCAGAGGAGAAGAATGGTCTCGCGAGGTAAAAAACTATCGGCCGATCGCAATACGCGTATGCACAATGGCGTCGCGCAAGGGTGCCAGGATCGCGGCCAGGGTCGAGCGAGAGGTTACACCTCGATTATCTAATTGTCGAGGACGTCTCGGGACGACGTTAGGTTAGGTTAGATTTCGTAGGATCGGCCCGATTGATAGAATCGCGACCCCGGGAGCGGGAAAGTTATTTTTGATCGGTTTTTGGAGGTGTCCGTTAGCGATCCAAAATGGCGGCGACCGGGAAACGGACCAAGCGTAGGCGCGGAGCTCGAAACTCGTATTCTGCGAGATCTACGGGACATATAAGGACTTGTCAATAGTAGACGCGTATATTTAAATTCCTTCAACACTTGTCGGTTACTTTGACATCGCGATTCGGTCATGTTGATCTGCCGCGGAGGGACGAAGAAAGCCGGGACAGGGGGGGCGTGTTCCAGGTGGACCCCGACCACGCGACGACGGAAGCATCGGATAAGTCAACGATGACGGAACCCTCGATCGCGTAACGCCAATGTTTCGCGCCGAGTCTCGGAAGAGACCCGGAGTGGCTCTTGGAGAGCGAGGGCATCGTCAATACCTCACTTATGTATTTTATTTAACATTAAGTAAAATACTTCTCTTAAGTATTTTATGTAACATTCAAGTGAAATACTTCACTTATGTATTTTATTTAACATTGAGCAAAATACTTCCCTTATATATTTTACGTAACATTAAGCAAAATACTTCCCTTAGGTATTTTATGTAACATTCAAGTAAAATACGTCCCTTAAGTATTTTACATAACATTCAAGTGGAATACTTCCCTTATGAATTTTACGTAACATTAAGCAAAATACTTCTTTTAAGTATTTTACGTAACATTCAAGTGAAATACTTTTCTTAAGTATTTAACGTAATATTCAAGTGAAATACTTCCCATAAGTATTTTATATAACATTCTTTCAAAAAAATGAGTTTATCAGTTATTTCACGCCATATTATTTCAAACGAAATTAATTCAATGTAATTGAATTAAAAACAAAAAATATATGAGTTAGACCACTTTCATAATTATGGGCACATATCGTGTCTGGCACTTTTCGCCAGTGCACCGAGGGCCGATATATCGGCCTCCGGCACTGAAAGGGTTAAAACCGAGAAATCGGGCGAAACCGAGCGACGTCGGCCCCATATCGGCCGCGACTCGCGCGGGGGAGGAGCGAGGGCACTCGCGCGATTCCTCGGGGCAGGAATACCGAGAGGACGCGGACGAAAATGCCGGGACGCGCGCGGCGGCGGCGCCGATTCCGAGAAATACTTGCCGACGTTTGAATGCGTTCAGGAACGAGTTTAAAAATTGTCGAATATTTCTCGAGACGCGCGGCGTGCCCGGCCATCTCTCGGCCCCTCCCCGGGGAGTATTATACGAGGACTCTCGTTCCGCGTTTCTCGTCTCGCGCGCGCGCGCTCTCTCTCTCGAGCGAGCGACCGAGCGAGCGCGAGGAGGAAGAGGCGAAAGAGGAGGAGAGGGCGCTGGCGTCGCCAGGCGAACGAGAGAAACGGCCCGGAGCGGCGGCGGGGCGCGAGTATGCGCCAGTATGCGCGAGTATGCGCGAGTGCGCGTCGGCGAAGGCCGGGGCGGCGGCGGGGAGGGGACACCGGACCCAGCGAGTGGGGGGAGGATTCGGCGAGCATTATGCTCCGGCATTATATCCGTCCGAGAGAGCCATACGGGACCTCCGAATATGCGGAGGGACACGACACTTTTGCAGGCCTCTTTGCGCGGCCGGCGTCGCCGACGGCCGACTTTTCCCTCTTGTTGCCACGCCACCTCCAAGGGCGCGTAGAGCGGCGGGAACGACCGCTTCCTCGGGGACCTCGGCCGACCTCCGCTCCCTACGTGGGTGCAAGGTAGCAGGCCGCTTGCCAAAACCCGGGGTGCGTCGGTGGCCGAGCACAAAGCCGCCTTCGAGAGACTCGGCCACGAGGGAAAGGGGGCGAGAGATCGATTCGACGGTCTCTCCTTCCTCCGAGGGTCCATTCTCAAGTTTGCCGGATCACGGAGAGTCCTAATTGAGTACGCTCGGGGTCTAATTGAAACGACGCGCCTCGGGAATAATGGATCCTGAGCCGCGTTAAATGGCTTCTTTATGCTCTTGGATGGTCCCCTAGGGAGCCGTGCCAAGACGTATCGAGCTCTAGGTGCTCGCGGTACTCATCGGAGCCTTGAAGACTCGGACGACGGCGTCGGATGATCGATCTCGGGGATCCGGTGGGCGATCGATCGCCTCCAATTTGCCGGCTTCGCGAGGCCGACCGCGAGCATTGACCACCAATCTGGAAAACCTCCTGGGGACCAAAATCCCCCCGTTCGCCGTCCAAACCAACGATCCCTCCTCAAACGTAAACGCTCGAAATCTCGAGGGAAAGGGGTTATTTTTTTTTTTTTTTTTGTACGCCGGAGGAGGAGAGAAAGAGACGAGGGAATCGCGGGCTCTCGAAGGGTCACCAGATGCGCCACCCACGCTCGGCGAAGCCGTCCCGGGGTTTTGAATGAGAATACGAAAAACGTGACGGGGCTTAAAGAGCAAATCTTAAAAATATGAGAAACCCCGGGACGCGAGGGGCGTCCCTTCCCCCCCTCCTCAGCCCCCTCCGGGGCCCGCGTCCCGGGCCCTCCGGCTTCCTCCCTTTCAGGCGGAACCCTTTATTCTACGTTCTTAAAACTCTCGGAGCTCGGCGAAAGGGGTTTAAAATTTTCAAAAAGCCGATCCTGAAAAGGCCCCGTATTTCAAACGGGCCTCTCCTTTTTTTATCATTTAATCCGCAGCGCGGATGAATAACCCTTTATAACGGCGAGCTTGCACGTAGCGCTGGCCTACATGCCCGAAAATCGCGACCGCGATTACGGCGGCATATCCCGCGTCCGTTGGCCCCGCGTGCGGACGGCCGTCGAGTGGAGGGTCCCCGGCTCGGCTCTCGAGAGGTCCCGAACGTCGAGGAACCTCCCAACGGATCGATCTCGACGGTGCCCGGAAAAGGCCGGGCCCGGCAGAAGGGTTGCGCCGGGGAGGCGGCGGAGAGGCGGCGGATACTAAACTATTCTCAGATGCGCGAGTGTCGCCGACTTATTGTCCTCTCGGGGCGAGGTAAGCCGAAAAGCGAGGAGACGAGAGGCCCGGCGTTATTTCTGTCAAAATTACGTTATGGTCGCCATTTTCCCGGTCCGCGTAGGCCGGGAGCGGTGCCGTCGTTTAGCACCTTCCCCGAGCGGCCGCGCGGAGCCGGGAGGGGGCGAGCCGGCCGTTTGGTCAGTGGCGGGACGCGCCGACCAGAATAAACGGGTGCCGCTCTCTCTCTCTCTTTCTCTCCCTCTCTCTCATTATAATTAGTGCGCTCGGTCGGTTAGCACCAACCTCGGGAGATCTATGAACGAGGAAATCGGCCCCGAGGTTGGCACTCCCGCTCGCGTCCGCCGATCTCCGGCGGTAATTGCCCGGGGGATTTATCGCCGCGGTTTTCCGCGGATCGGGCGCGATGCCCCACGAGAACCCCTGAAAGGGGGGCCTCGTCTTCGGGGGGTGACGGCCACGTTAGCGGCGACGGCGGCCCGGAGGAACGGACGGACCCTCTAGGGGACCGCCGACCGAAATAAACGTACCGTTCTCCGATTCGCGGCGGACCGCTCATTATAATTAGTGCGGCGGGTTCTCATGGTTGGTTAGCCCGGTCCTGGCGTCGAGCCCCGTTCACTTCCAAGCCTCGGGACCCGCGGACGAGGAGGACCGCCTCGGCGACGATCCTCCGCCGTCGGCGCGAGTCCTCGCTTCCGCTCTAGGGGGCCGGGGGAAGGGCCCGAGGTCGCCAATAGAGAGAGAGAAAGAGATTCGAAGTCCTCCGAGGCGAAGGCCGCACCAATTAGCGTCCTCCTCGTTCGCGCCTCTCCGAAAGCCGGCGGACGCGAGGCGTCCGTTCCTTCTCCGGATCGTCCCGAAAGGACCGAAATCCAGGCCGGGGCGGCGGGTGTTTCGTTCCCCTTTTAATTGGGCGCCCCGATAATAAAGAGCGTTCGGGGCCGGGATCGTTTTACTCGGGGGCTTTCGATTTTAATCGGCCGGTGCCCCCCAACGTCCCGGCCTCGACTATGGATTTTTCGAGGCCGCGCTCGGCCACCCCTTTGGGTGGCGGGTCCGGACCCCCCCGGGCACCCCGGATCCCCGCATGTAACGTTAAACCCCCGGGTACGAGGAAGCGGGAGCGAAAAACCGAGTAGGCGTAGCCCCCTCGGCCCCTCGGCCCGCCATCT